TGTCACCAGAGCTGCTGCTGCTGCACAGACGCAACACGCTCGCTCCACGCTCACACTGAATATGCCGGGACTGCTGCTCGGAGATGTGTTTCCTGATTTCGAGGCGGAGACCACCACTGGGAAAATTAAACTCCACGAATTTCTCGGTGATTCGTAAGTAGGCTTCTTGAATGTTGTTATCTGTGGTGATTTATGAAGGCTTATCGAGAACTGACCTCACCTCAGAGAGGGAGAGAGATTGCCTCTAGTTCCTGTTACTGCTCTCTGACTTCTGCTTTAGACCTTCGACTGTGATACATACAGCATTGTGGCCACTGTGTGCATATGTCATTAAAACATATAACGTGGATAAATTAATCTCTTTATGAGCAGATCATCTGGCTCTTGTTCAGATAATGACATGATCCAAATCAAAGGAAGCAGAGCATGCAGGTCAGAGGTCAAACCTAAACCTGTCCATGGTGCACAATCACGCTGATGATCTCATGAAAAAACTCCCGTCTGTGACACAGTTGTCACATCCTGTCAGATTCTTGCATCTCTCAGCTCCATCGTATTGTGCAAACCAACAATAAGCAGCAACCGCAATATTGGAGATATTTATGTCTGATGAGAGGAAACAGAGTCAGACTGAAACCTGTTTGTAAACCCTCATGTTACATCTCCTCATTTCAGAGGTGCTGACCCTGACAAACACCTGACAGTAAACTCACTGGTGTCTCCCTTTCATTTCCAGGTGGGGAATCCTGTTCTCCCACCCCAGAGACTACACCCCGGTGTGCACCACAGAGCTGGGTCGGGCTGCCAGGCTGAGCAGTGAGTTCAGTGAACGCGGCGTTAAACTGATCGCCCTGTCCGTCGACTGCCTGGAGGATCACCACGGCTGGACCAAGGTGTGATAGTAACAGGGTGTTTAGGACGTACTAGGCATCACAGTGTAGGGGTCGGCAACCTTTACTATCAAAAGAGCCATTTTTGGTGGAGCCGCAAAACATATTTTAGCCTCATAATTCAGGTAACACAGCCTTTTAGGTCAAATTTTGCCTCTCAACATTTCTAATAGATCTAAATGAGCATTTACAGCACAAAGGAAGTGCATCAACTATTGCACGACCAAAACAGGAAGAAGACAGTGCTTTTGTTTTCTCCAGTTACCAAAGACTATCAATGTAAGTTCTTTGCAGTAACTATAGTAGACTGGACATGGAGGATGATGGAACCACTTAAGTAACTGTGGAAGCTGTGGTGATTGCTAGACTCTGAGGGAAACAGAAAGCGATCTGGTTCCCTTAGCGACAGCAGCACCAACTGTAATACTACTAGATGTTTCTAAGAGACAACAGAGCTCCATCAGTCTAAAACTGATTTGGCTTAAACATCTAACTAAGGGGTTGTGTCTCTGTACTAACCAGGACATTGTGGCGTACAACTGTGAGGAGGCTTCTTGCTGCTCGCTGCCCTTTCCCATCATAGCGGACGGTAAACGGGAGCTGGCAGTGGCCCTGGGCATGTTGGACCCAGATGAGAAGGACAAAGACGGCCTGCCGCTCACTGCCCGCTGTGTAAGAGCTTTCACAATCACAGTATGATTTCCCTGTTTTATAGACAGCATTAAGGTTAATAATTATTCCATAGGCATGAGCGTTGGTGAGTTATTGTTAGGATCCATCCCTCTGTTTGTGTGTAGGTGTTCATCATTGGCCCTGACAAAAGGCTGAAGCTGTCGCTCCTCTACCCAGCCACCACCGGACGCAACTTTGATGAGATTCTGCGAGTGGTGGACTCACTCCAGCTCACGGCGGGGAAACGAGTTGCCACACCTGCTGACTGGAGGGTAAGTCACACCTTTGAAAGTGACCTCAGTTTGTACCAATCGGTTCAGCAGCTGACTACAGAGATTATAGAAACAGGAAGTGACCTGCTGCCAAGCAGAATAACCCAGTTTCTTTTCTTCCTCCAGCCCGGAGACTGTGTGATGGTCCCTCCCGCCATGTCTGAGGAGGAGGCTGCGTCTTTGTTCCCAGCTGGCGTCTACAGCAAAGACCTGCCCTCTGGCAAGAAGTACCTGCGCTACACACCCCACAAATGAGCGCAGGCAGAGACAGCACTGATATTCAACACTCACTCATGTCACAGCAGCTCTTAATATTGGATCTGAAGGACTTTGAGTACGGCTGGTTTCTGTCCCTACCAGGTAGATAAACAAGTCAGCAGGCCAGTTGTGACAAAATGGAAGGAATAAAAACCAGTGCCTTAAGGAATATGTGGGACTTTACTAAATGTTACAATATATATAACTCCAGAAATAAAAGCTGCAGTGCTTGGTCTACTTTTCTTAAGGGGGGTTGTTTTTGGAAAGGCAGGCATTTACAAATGCACGCACATCCAGACGCTAAATATCAGGAGCTGGACAGAGGAAAGAGTTTAGGGGCCTCTATTGACAGATAAAGAATGTAATATTCATGACTATGTTTTCATTTGTTTATAATCACAGGAAACTAAATCGTGTTTTTGTTACCTTAGAATGAGCCGTTTATATCTACGTATGGAGCGGGTCCTCTTCCACAGTCTGCCATGTTGTTTCTACAGTAACCCAGAAGGGACAAACCAAACACCTACTCTACATCGGGCCATTCGCCCTTTCACTTTGGCCACCGTAGTTCTCCTGCATGCTTGGCAAACAGGAGAAGTTTCAGTTCTGCAACCTCACCACTAGATCCGCAAAATCCTACACACTGGACCTTAAACAACCACCAGGCGACGTTTTAAGCACCAAGCTCTTCTTCAGGGTTCAGATGAGAACATATATTTTTAATTATTAAAGAGTTGAGTGATACTATCAGGGTTAAAAAATACACACATGATCAAAAGGTCGTGTGTTCATTGTCTACATGTGCATCTCTTTTTTTGGACTATGCAAGAGGAAGTGGATTATGACCTAATGAGAGCAAACATTGCTACTGCCATGCCTTTGTACTCAATTTATCTGGCAAGTGTATCTTATTAGAGGGTCAGTCCACCCCAAAAATCAAAAATACATGTGTCCTCTTACCTGTAGTGCTGTGAATCAGTCTAGATTGTTTTGGTGTGAGTTGCAGAGTGTTGGAGATATCAGCTGTAGAGACGTCTGCCTTCTCTCTAATATAAGGGAACTAGATGGCACTCAGCTTGTGGTGCTCAAAGCGCCAAAAAAATACATTTGAAAAACTCAACAACAATGTCTCTTTCCAGAAATCATGACCTGGTTACTCAAGATAATCCACAGACCTTGTTGTGAGCAGTTTCATGTAGGAACTATTTTCTTTGTACCAAACTACACCCGCCAACTGTATCACTGCGCAGAAGAAAGCACTTATCGACTCATGGATGAGAGGCTTGTGCTCGTGACAGCACAAGATGTAAAAATGTATGGTGTCCCCCTCAGCTGAGCTGTAACGTTAGCTAGCTCAGTGGTGCTAGGTGAGCTAGCAGAGGATACACACTTCCTTCTGTGCAGTGATACAGTTGGCAGGTGTAGTTTGGTAGAAAGAAAATAGTTCCTACATGAAACTGCTCACAACAAGATCTGTGGATTATCTTGAGTAACCAGGTCATGATTTCTGGAAAGAGACACTGATGTTGAGTTTTTCAAATGTATTGTTTGGCACTTTAAGCACCACAAGCTGAGTGCCATCTAGTTCCATTATATTGGAGAGAAGGCAGACATCTCCGATATCTCCCAACACTCAGCAACTCGCACCAAAACTATTTACACTGATAAATATAACTACAGATAAGAGGAAAAATAGGAACTATTTTCTTTCTACCAAACTACACCTGAGTGTGAATCTGCTAGCTCACCTAGCACCACCGAGCTAGCTAACATTACAGCACTAGTCTCTCGTCCATGAGTAGATGCACGCTTCCTTCTGTGGGGTGATACCGTTAATGGGTTAAGTTCAGTAGAAAGAAAACAGTCCCTACATGAAACTGCTTACAAAAAAGGTTTGGATTATCTTGAGTAACCGGGCGTGTTGAGCACCACAAGCCAAGTGCTATCTAGTTCCAGTATGTTGGAGAGCAGGCAGACATCTCTACAGCCGATATCTCCAACACTCAGCAACTCACACCAAAACAATTGAGCTTGATAAGTAGCACTACAGGTAGGAAGATAAAAGATACAATATTATGACCTCCTCCGCCGCCGTCGCCATGTTAGCTGTTGTCAGAAATTTGACTCTGCCCTCTTGTGCAATCTGGACGCAAGGTTTGTGGGCATTGACGGTTACAGTGGTTGAAATGAACGGATCTGTTTTTGTACACAAAGGGAGTATAAAGAACCTTATGAGGAATATTTGTGTTTGAATTCAGGGAGAAATGTACCTCTAAACACAGTGAGTTACAAAGTGTTCAGTACACGTCTGATTGTCTACTTTTACGTAACTGATTACTATCACTTGAATTGTTCTTGGCAGGATGGACTACATATTTCACTTAACGTCTTATGGATTTACTGTATCTATACTCTAATGGTTTATGTACATATGTCACCTGTGTGGGACAATAAAAGCCTTAAGGTAAATTTTAAGCCTAAAGAATGACTATCAAACACTGAAATCGTTCTGTCGTAACTTCTGGACACTACTGTTCAGAAGCACCTGCAAGAGTTTGTAAAGCTTCGACCCCCTCTTTCCTCTCTATCATATGGTGGTTCTGTTTGAAGGCGGCTGTTAACTCAGCTGTGCAGGATTTGGCGTTCCCCCCTCACTGTGTCGACGGCATCAGTGAAGAGCTTATCAACTCTGATCCTGGGAAATGCTGGCGACAGGCTCCTCTCTGTGACCAGCAGACGGGAGAGAGTAAGGACAGTGAAGGTGTTACAAACAGGAATTGGAGGAATGAGAATACGGCGGAGACAGAACAAAGGACAGGGTGCTTAAAAATGAATGAGATGAAGCACACTAAATTATATATTAAAACACACTGGGTTGGAGTGACAGTGAAAGGCATGGGCACAGTTCTATCATTTTAATTATTTATTAAAATACATTTGATGGTGACAGTAGACTTGATGATATTTGACTTTGGATGGAGCTGAGGGGCCGCTGGCAAGTCAACGACCGTAAAATCTGTTGCATCCTCCTTGACAGTTTGGGTGAAACTGCAGCATCTAAAGGGCAGACAGCTGCATGAAGTCTCCATAGAGGTCTTATCTACTGTGGTCTGAACCCCTGCATGTGTTACTAAACCACAGATATTAAACCTCAGAAAGCTGCTGTCCTCCAGGTTATTAAGAAAATGAAAACTGGACCTTTAAAAATATCAGGAGAAGCAGCAAGGTTAAGACTTCTGTTCACGTTTCCAGCGTGTCGGATTTGTCATCACTATTACGTCACTAGAGAGTCACTTCCAGCTCGGCTGCCTCCCAGCAGCAGTGTCATCATCTCTGGTTCATGATGGCCTGGTACTCCCTCTGGTGGGCGAACAGTCGCAGGAACACTTTGTACTTTCTCTCATAGAAGCTGAGGAAAGTATGAAATGCAGAAAATGATTACACAAATGTGACACACAGAACTGTATGTTTCAGTTTTCACTGTAATAAAACATGAAGACTTCATAACATAGTGACCCTGACTGTGCTGCAAGGTCAGTATTATACATTTTGGTTACTCCTAACTCAATCAATCTATATATCTATATGGGTTGTTTTGCACCATTACATATTTAAATAACAATACAATTTTCTTCACATAAGAAATAAAAATAAAAGCTTAAAATATATATTTTCAAATTGCATACATGTACGCATGTCATCTTTGCTCAAACTGTCACTATATCCACACAGCACTAAATGAGACAAAAGTCATGTTCCTCTACTGGACTTAACGCATGTGAAACAACCAATCAGAGCCGAGTAGTCTCTAGCACAGCTGTCATCATGTCAGTCACTGCTTGTGAACTTCGGCCAAACTGTCAAACAAGGCAGCACTGATCAAATATGAATAAAGATTCTGTTACTGCTTTGCCTATTTCTCCCCTCAGATTTACTAAGAAACATATTTTAGTTTACTGTTTAGCTGTAAAATGAGAAAGATTGTGACCTGGCTGCCATGTTGGAAACAGTGAAGCCAAAACAAAACACCACCCACCAGCTGGAGCACTTTCTTTCTTATTTTACAGCTAAACAGTACACCAAAATATGACTATGAAAACATCTGAGGTGAGAAATAAGCAAAGCACTAACAGAATCTTCATTGATATTTGACCAGCACTGTAGAGTTTGACAGTTTGACCACAGTTCACAAGCAGAGAGAAATAGACTGCTGCGTTAGAGACTCCTGGGCTCTGATTGGTTGTTTTGAGTAAGCGATGGTAGATTCTAGCACAATGGATCCCAACTGGTCCAGCCATGGGGTCCAGATTTCCTCTTAGTCATTAGTTCAAGGTCAACACAGCTTAATTATTCAGCGTCATACTTGCGTTTGGCCATGTTGTTGAGCTAGTTTGCTGTCTCTGTCAAGTAGCTGTCCGTTATTCACTCACTCTACAGCAGGAAACAGCACTTCAAAATGAAAGCTCTGTGCTGGAAATTCACTGTTCTTTAAAATTAAGTGTGTTTTTTACAAACTTGACACATTTGTGAGTAAACTGTGGTCCATTCAGAGTGGACCTGCGACCTACTTTTGGACCACGACCCACCAATTGGGATCCACTGTTCTGGTAAATGTCATTAGAGGCAGCGGGAATAGGAAAAGGGTGTTTCAATGAGTATCACCACTTGTCACCACATGTCGCAAAGATCTTACACCGGCAAGCTTGTGCATTTGGTTTGGAAACGAGTGACAGAAAGAAGCAACTTTTACCATCAACATAAACCACCGCACACGTAATTCAGTTCAGTGTGCGGTGGTTTATGCTGATGGTTTTATATATGTATTTGTATTTATCTATTTTTCATTTCTTTTCTCCCTGCTGATCCCGCCCCAGTACTGGCCAAAAACACAAAATATAACATCACAAATAAAATTCTCTAAAAGACAAATCTCCTCCTGCTTCCGGTCGATTGGTTAATGTAAGTCGCACTGCTAAACTTTGCCTGGGAAAATGTAAATGTAGGTTTTTCTGGTCTGTGTTATGTAAACTGGTTCGTCTGATGTCAAAGGGAATGTGACTCAGGAACAGACATAAGTATAACTATATTGAAATAACCTTCTTACTGATGGCCTTGTTTGCTTATGTAGGTCATATAGGGGCATCAGTATTAAACTGAGACACGGAAATGGTTTCTGCGGAAAGGCAAGTTGTTGAAGAAGCCAAATTTTTTTCTTTATAATAATTGCAGATATGTTGCATTTTTATTGAATTGAGCATCATATGTACTGGATCCATTTATGTTACTATCCCACAGACCATTACAGCACCCATGACTTTCACCTAAATCCTTCTCACCTCTGGAGTTCACGATCAGGCCGAACAACTTTCCCCACTTTCGCCATTCTCTCCATCGCCTCCTAAAACACAGATGGCAAAGACAAACATCACTCAATAAATCATGCTACACACATTCAGTCTGAGGCCAACCGTGACCCAGTTATAGTAATAACACCAGCCAACTGCAGTGGTTTTGGTGTGGCCGAGTTTATGACTAATGCAGCGTAGGGCCTCTCTGCTGTCTGAACCGACCAAATCCAGCCAGTTGACTGTGTGCAGCTCAGAGGATCAGACACAACAACTGCCTGCAGTAGTTATGGCTGAAAATGGGCTGACAGGTGCAGCCTAGTCCAAACAATAACGTCTTATTTTTAGTATAACTGGCTTAAAGGCTTGCCGTTCTCCTGTGCTCCGAGGTCTGGGACTGAGACACAGAGGGATGATAGATTTACCAAGCAAAAAATATTTAATAATCACTTTATATCTTCAACACATTGAGCACAAATTTTGTCTGTAGCTGAAGCAAGCAGAGCTGTGCACTTTGTGTTTTGCTTCCACCCAGCAGATGGAGGCATCGAGTCAGTGATGATGAGATTTTTGCTGCATGCATATGGCTTGAGGTCAATGTTATTAGACTACAAAATAAAAAAATTGGATGCAAACTGCTAAATATATTGAAAAATAAACACTTTTTAAAGGAGCACATCACCCATTAAGTTCAGTTTACACTTCATGGGAGCACTACTCAGACTGTGGAAACATTTGTTTAATGTCTTCTGTGGCTCAGGAGAAAAAATGTTATTTCAGGTTTGGCTTGAGATTTAAATATTTTAACAGTAAGCCTGCATTGCAAACTGGAGGTGTGTGGTTTGCAAAAAGTGGGTATTTCGATGGCAGGGGCAGTCTGATAAAATATTAACCAGTTAGGAAATGTAGAATCCAGTGTTTTTGTATATATACAAACATCTTAATGCTTTTTGGAACCAAGCTATTTAATGCGACACACACAAAGCTGCTCACTCAGAGGTACAAAACAACACACAGTGCCTCCTCTCTCAATATACAGCATGAAGATACTGGTTAATGTATAGAAACAAAATGAAAAAATCCCCAAAATTAAGTGTCAAACGCCTTTTCTGCCTCAGCCTCTGTCAATTTTACGACCTTAGTTTATATACAGTATGAGTCTGTGTGTGACTTCACCTGTATGGTGCTGTAGTCCTGTGATGCACATGCACCCAGGACTGCTGCTCCTATTAACACAGCCTCCGTCTGGTCAGGCAGCACCACAGGCAAACCTGAGGAGGACAACATTGAAAACTGAACGTAAAGTTTTTGGGTTACCATTAATTTATATTTTGGGGCAAAATGTCTACTTAGCTAAACTGTCATTCACAGTATTAGAGCTGTCATCATACCTGTAGCGTTGGCATGGATCTGGACAAACAGGGCGTTTTTGCTCAACCCGCCACACAGGAAGAGGGTTCTGATGTCATGTCCTGCTTCTTTCATGGCCTCCAGAATATGAAGCGTACCAAGCTGAAACCGCATACGAAAATAAAAGGGAGGTGAGGTTACAAGTATCTTCACACTTTAATGTTGTGGCTTGCTGAGTAACAAATCAAACACAGTAGACTCACAGCGAGGGCTTGTATAGTGGCCAAATAAAGCAGGGCCAAGTCGTCCAAGGTTTGTGAGAGTGGCAGTCCGATCACCTGCAAAACAGTAACGAGTCATTCATGCAAAAATGGCTCAGTGCTGAATAAGAAGAGTCACCAGAGGGGTGCATTCATGAATGAGAGGGTTGGTGAAAGCACAGCTGTAATTGAGGGTCTGGTATCCAGTGATTCAGTCAAAACAATATTCAACAGTTCTCTGGGTCTACAGATACAGCTCGGAAATAATAATCAGCTTACTGAACACAGAAATCATGGCAGTGGCTCTGCTGTGACGCACTTTGTGGTGCTTTGTGAAGTTAGCAGCATCATCAACATTTTGGGAAATACAGTTATTTATTTCTGATGCTGGAGCCAGTGGGTGATTAGCTTAGCTTAGCTTATCTTATCTTAGCAAGTGGAGGATGGAGTAAACAGAAGTGTGCATCTACTAATGTACAAAAGCATCATGCTTGCAACAACATGAGATGTGAACACTGATGGCATCCTCCTCAGCTGAGTTGTAATGTTAGCTAGCTCAGTGGTGCTAGGTGAGCTAGCAGTAGATGCACACTTCCTTTCGCAGAGTGTTGGAGATATCGGCCGTAGAGATGTCTGCCTTCTCTTCAGTATAATGGGACTAGATGTCACTCAGCTTGTGGTGCTCAAAGTGCCAAAAATACATTTGAAAAAACTCTACACACATAGTCAAAAGATCATGTGTTGTTTACACATGCACCTTTTGGATCCATGCCACAGGAAGTGGTTTATGGTGCTAGTTGCACACAGGATGACCTAATGAGAGCAAACAATGCTACTGCCATGTCTGTGTACTCATTTTACCTGACACATGTACTTTATGAAAGGGACAGTTCACCCAAAAATCAAAAATACATACGTTTCCTCTCACCTGTAGTGCTATGTGTCAGTCTAGATTGTTTTGGTGTGTTGGAAATATAGATTTATATACCAAAATTATTAGACGTAACTAAATTGGACCACTTAAGCATATTTAAAAAGTTATAAGATGGTCTGCAATGACCTTTCCACCTCTGTAGGGTAGTTCAGTAAGTAAACTTATAAACCCATGATTTGATCAATAATATGTTGTGTCATGTGTCACGTGAAGCCTTGACTTATGTTCCCTCACCATGCCCTTCAAAGAGGGGTCAGCTAGGGGCGACCTGTTCCCATGGAAGTCCGGCCAAACATGAAGACTGGAGCCAAGCAGGTCAACAGCAGAGCGGGAGTTAGCCATTGAACTCAAGTGGCTGTTCAGGTAGCTGTAGATGTTCTCACCTGTAACAGGACATCTGGGACAAATAACAAATGAAGAACCCAGTCTAATTAAATGGCATTAAAGTTACATTAATGCTGCAGGATTTTTTCACAGAAAGGAAAAGCAAAGGTGTCACTAATAACATTAACAGTGGCTCGTTAAGCGTTCCAGTCGGCTATGTCTGTGGGCAAACATGGACAATTAAATAATAAATTCCTTCAATTGCAGCTTCCACAGAATCATCAAGTTGCATTGAAAACTCAATCTTACTAAGCTTCTTAATTTTCCAAAGCTTACTAAACAGCTGAACAGGGATGACAGCTGTGCCTGAACATTTTTTGGGAGGTGCAGCAGCACTAGAAGCATCAGCTGACCTCTGCCGTGCCTCTTCCTGGAGCTGGGTGTAGTCGGCGTGGCCTTTCACCATGTGGTCGATCTGAGGGAGTAGAGAGCAACACAGTTTAACACATCTGATGACAAAAAGGCTTGTGAAGATGCAACTGCTGATTATTATTGTTTATCAGTTATTTTTGATGACTGGTTAAACATTAAGTCCACAAAATATTTACAAATTCCCACGTGAAGTTACTAGAGCTTTAAGTGATGTTGTGAGATAACCACACTGCTTTCAAACGTTGTTTATGTGGCTGGATGAGTTGTTCACATCTGGGTGTCATTTGGGTCCATTTACACATGGACTGTTTACATTTTGTCTCCACAGTTTTCTGTTGCTGCTCAGCAAAAAGCAGCTCAGTAAAATCCTGCATAAAGCTCGACAGTGAACTGACCAGCCGTCCTGTCGCACTCTGTCCTCCCTCGTTGAGCCACAGGCCGGGCACCATGGCGGACAGGCAGGGCCCCCACACTCCGGGCACAAACAGAGGCTGCTCGCTGATCTGATGCACATGAATGAGAAATCAAATATTTTAGTTAGGAAGGAAGGTTAGCCTTGAACTGGATAACAAAAATTCATGTCATCTTAAAATTATGTCAGCAATGATCCTATCTGTTCTTGAGCAAACCTCTTTAATGTTGCAACAGAAATGAGGAGGAAGCAAACCTGGATGATGATACTGATAATACTGATAATACTGACATTAAGCTAACTTCTCTTAATGTATTTATATGTTAGCTAGCTAGTTAGCTAACGCTTTGCCTGCATGAAATTGAGCCTGGCGTTAGTTCAGGCAGGACACGATATCAAGCTCAGCTCTCATCCCTGATCTCAAACAGCCAATCAACTGATGGAGCAGCTGATTGATGGAAGGGAGTCAGCTGATAGATCACATGATTCCTTTCTATGCAACCAGTTGGCAAATCTCGTTCAGGGCACCCTATTTAAACTGCTCTGGCCTGCCTACTGCCTACTGACTTATCAATGTCATTTCCGTTTGTCATTGATGCTGCTCTGTTCTGTTCCTGGGGGGTCTTTGCTGCTGCTCTCCCTGCCTCAGGCTTTCTATGTAGGCACATGGAAGCGCAGGGAGGTTTGCTCTCTCTGCCTCAGGCTTTCCACGTAAGTGCGTGGAAGGGCAGAGAGGTGTGCTCTCTCTGCCTCAGGCTTTCCACCTAAGTGCGTGGAAGGGCAGAGAGGTGTGCCCTCTCTGCCTCAGGCTTCCCTTATATACGAATGGAAGGGCAGAGAGGCGTGCTCTCTGCCTTAGGCTTTCTGTGTAGGCCTGAGAAAGGGGAGAGAGGCCCCAGAAAGCAGCCATACCGCCAAATATAATACCGTTAAAAAGTTTTCTCTGACTGAACTAACTTAAGATGTGACTATATACAACATACTGTGTCAGTAAAGTTGAGGTTCTGCCAGGTTCCAAGCTTGCATAAGAGTTACTGGAGCACAGAACAAAATGGGATGGGACTAAGGAAGGGTCAAGTGCGTGTTACTGATCTTCAAAATTAACTACAGAGGGAAGTCTGGTGGCTTTAAAGAGATTGCGTTAAAGCAGCTTCAGTTCCCTGCCGGACAGTGTTGTCTGACAGCAAGGTAAAGTGGTGAAAATATTCTACATATAGCGTATACTTAAATGGATATTGACTTTTTTTTGCGTGGTCATTTCAGTTATTATTATATCAGCACTTACTGCTTTTTGCTAACGGCTGAGGTGGTGTTTCTGTTTGCCACAAAAAATGCAGAAGGAGTCGACCTGTAAATCCTCATACAATAAAAATTCCCTACAAATATGATGCAAGTTTAAGTCACATAGCAGGTGAAATGTCGCTGTAAACCGCTCACCGCCATGTGACAGGTTGACGTCCCACAGATCATGGCCATGCGTGAGGTGATGGGCTGGTCCTCACAGGGCAAGTTAAAGCCTTTTACGTCTGCACCTATCACACCTGAAAAGCACAAATTACACATTTTAATCAGATTTTATTAACATCAGAATTTATATTGGAAAAAACACATGAATATTTTTAGGTGTTGTCTGATACAATGTTCACAAAACTCCCATTTGAGCCCCATCAGCGACAAATCACATCATGACTTGCAGTAGAAAAGCTTAAAATCCTTTTGAAGTGCTTCTCTGACCTTCACACAGAATTCAGCGGTGACACTAACTGCTGGAATAATGTTTGTCAAGCTGGTTTGAGTTTAAGGTGGAAGGTTCATCTGTGCACACAGGTCAGGGGGTGTGCCTCACTGTGACACGCACGACAACTAAAAGTGCAGCGTGTTTTAGCCTCTGACTGATACAACAATGTGTGATAGGCAGAGGTCGCAGCCGGAGGTTAGAGGTCAGAGTTCATGAGCAGTTTATCTCCCAGAACAAAACCAGATGGTTTGAAATTCTGAACTAGAGGAACTGTCTGCTGCTGCTCTGAAGCTAGTAAAGTGCTCACACATACAGTATACAACAGCATTATTTAGTCACTTTATTCACTTTATTGTTATATTTTATTTATTTTTTGCCAAAAATATTAAAGCTGGTAGAGTTTGGTGGGCTGGCAGTCTGTCCGATACCTAACAAAGCAACAAACAAGTATCACAAAGAATTAGTGTCTCCATATTATCACTCATTTAAGTTTACATGTAATATCTAACTATAACATGTGATATAACATGTATTATATGTGACGTGTTAATTGCTATAATGCAATATGTTTTGACCCATTTTACATGCTGTATTTTATTGTTTTTAATTTTTCTAGCATACCTTTTTACAGCTGGTGAAGGGACTGCCGATGAAAACTAGCCCTTCAGCTAATTCAGGTGCATTTACATTTGTTAAAATGTTGATTAATGCACGCTGTCCCTGTTAATAAATAAATAAAGAAATTAAATAAACTAGAGCCTATTCATGTTCCCCAGAGGATGATTCTTAATTATTTTTGGTGTACCCTGGGCCTTTAATGTAGCTCCACCATGATGCCAAAATGTATATTTAAGCAGAATAAATCTACAAATCTACTGGACAGTTTGCTTTGACATTTACTGAACACCATTATTTACCCACCCAATCACCATATAAATTAGCATAAGCATTGTACGTTTCTGCAAACTATGAAGACTTTGCACTTGCACATTATTATGTAGTGGACGTACATTGAAACTTTATGCTGTGATTAACCTGTGGTAAGGTTAAGGCACAAAAACCACTTGGTTTTGGCTTGAAAAACCCGTTTTTGGGGGCACAATCCTCGCAAGAAAAGCAGCAATGTCTCTGTAAGGAACAATGGCTTTTAGTGGTGCTATCCCCACACAGAAAAACATCGATGGGTTGCTTAAAAACACCAGCATTTACAGTTAGATGGTTGAATCCTGAACCTCCAATGTACAACATCTGGATTAAAAAAATATGGGAACTGTATGAGATGGAACAAATTACATATGCATTGAGGTTGCAAAGACCAAAATTTATAAAGAGGTTGAACCCTGTAATGAGTGTGTTAATGCAGTAAGGGAGCTCTAAAATCCACAGCCCCCTCTTATTCCTCTCTTCTCTTGCTTTTCCCTTCTTTTTTATTCTCTTTATTACTCGTCTCAAACCTGGATAGATGCTATGGCAGCTGAAAACTTTGTACACTTATCAAAGCACTATATGCTTTGTGAGTTATGTAAAAACTGTATTGATTGTACATAATGCTGATGCTGAGATAAAAAAAAATGAGTTTTAATAAATCAAAAACAAAAAACACCAGCATTTGGTGCCTATAAAGCTGCTGGAAAAAAGGCCACGGGTTGCAGAAAGACACCCATGTTTGGGGGCTAAAAAGCCACTGGACACACAACATGACTCACTAGAAAACACCTGTTTTTGTTGGGGATCTGAAACAGTGGTCAGCAGCTTGGCAGGCATCTCACCTAGATGACATCCACCATCCTCTTCACCTCCCAGTGACAAAGTTAGCTCATATACTACGTCACTTTAGAAATGCTGATCTGATACGTATGAAACATGCAAATGTAACATATTCACGGTTTGCAGAAATGAACAACATTTTGTTACGGCAACTGGGCTGCATTTACCCCAGACAATGAACTTTTTGCTTTTGGAACACTTGAAAGGCTTCCCTCAGGTGAAAACTTTCAACTCTGTGCACAAGATACTGAAAACTATTGGCTGTAATTCCATGAACATGATTCTCCAGATTTGGATAAGCTTTTGCCTAATCAGCCTCTGACCTTCTCCATTGCCACAGTTATGCTACACTTCATGCTTGTGCACAGAAAAATATCATAATTTACCTAATTGTGAAGTTTTGAGTTTATTTTTTGCTCTGTGGTGTATGAACAATCCACACCCGCCCTGAACCAGAATGTCAACTTTTGACATAAGCATGTAATCTTCTGCCTTCCTCCTTTCTTTGGTGTCTTTTGAAGTCTCAAGGTGTGGCAGGATATCTCAATTTTTACAGTTTAGGAGTTCATATTATAAAAACAATTAACTTTAAAGCTACATGGAACATGCAGAATTACCTAATACACCTTAGAAAATTAGATATATTTGGAAAAAAATAATGGTTTAGGGTGTCATACCAAGACCTCCTGCATGAGCATCAACGAGAGAAGCACCAACTGCAGTTCCTGGCTCCAAACCCAGATCTGCTGCTGCCTCCTGAGTAAGGCCGTCTCCCAGCGAGCTCCCTGGAGAACACGTCGCATTGCCTGGATGACAGAAAACAACACAGCTTACATGTAAATAATTAAAGAACTCTTGAGTCAAATTTGTGCTTGAAAAGATCAGACAATGAACCATGAAATTCCTTATCAGTATTTTCTGATCTTCTTATAAGTGTTACAGTGAAATTTTGTTCGTTAATGTCTTTTACCTATTTTTGAAAACTTGTTTTCCAGAAGATCTTCCAGTCCAATGCTAGTCCAGAAACCAGCATCCCATCCCTCTGGGGGGCAATACGTCCATTTACACACCAGAGTGCATAAAGACCTGTGAAACATTGCAGAATAGTCGTGTAACATGTCTTATAATATACTCATTTAAGTACAACATGGGATCACAGGTGAAGGCCACAGGATCAAAAGACAGTTCATCCAAAATAAAAGACACATCTATTGGAATTCCCCTGCTTTAGAGGACAACCCAGTTCTTTTTCTTAAACAGATATTTGATACAAGGATAAAGTTTCAACAGGGCAGCACAGCAGCCCATCAGCTCACACCTTATTATAACACTGTAGCCACTTACAAGTTGTAGGTCACTGAAAAAGGTGAACCATTTTAATACTAATCTGAAACTCACAAAATGTATTAAACACATATTACACATGTAAATAGTTAACAGATGAAGGTTTAAATTATCATAAAGTCAACGTGACAATCATCGAACAAAGCTCACCGTGTCAAACAGCCCGTTGCCTTCCAAGACAGGAAGTCTGGAAGGTCGAAAAAGTGTGCAGCTTTGTCCCAGCAGCTTTCTTTTAGATTCTGATTAAAAGACAAGAGACATGTGTGGTAATGAATCCCTGATTAGTGAGTAATTACAACAGACCTTAAATGAGTAGTTCAGTATGAGGTACTTACCCAGAGTCAGTGTATTACCTACAGTCGATGGCGGTCAGTACGCCCCAAGTTTGGAGAAGCAGACTGGAGTACAAAAGCTAATCTATGCAATGTATTGCTGTGGACAGGGGCAGCAGCAAAATGTATTTTAGCCACCTTAAAAATATCAGAACAAGTGTACATGACATTTTGAATATTTTCACTGCTTTACCTTTGCGTCAAACAGCCTGTTCCAAAAGAAGCTGAAGCTCTCATATCCATCAACGCTCTCGTCAAGTCACCAGATGGTCAAAGTCACCAGACATTGACAAAAACAGTAATTTTAGCTTGCTGAACACAGGAGCTGCTGCCTCCATCGGTTACTTTATTTGTGCTATTGTGTGACTTTGAGGAATCCGAACTAACCCTTTGTAACACCAAAGTCGCACAATAACACAAACTAACTAACTGATCGAGGCAGCGGTAGACCAGCAATTCCTGTGTTCTGCTAGGTAAAATTACTGGTTCTGCCAAAGGAGTCTGCTGGCTTTGAAGACAGCATAGATACCAGCTTTAGTTCCCCATTGGAAAGGGGTGTCTGACAGCAAAATAAAATGGTGAAAATATCCAAAATACAGCATACAACTTAACTGATATTATTTTTCTTTAGGTGGCTAAAATACATTTTGCTGCTTCCCCAATCCACAGCAGTACTTCACCTCTCCACACTAGGAGTTTCCTGACCACCATCTACTGTAGGTAATACACTGACTATGGATAAGCACCTCATGCAACCCAACCAAAAAATCTGTATTATCCCTTTGACAACAAATCACTTTCAAGAGGTTTCCATCTATCAGATACCTTCCAAGAAAAAGGCAGAGAAACTGAAACAACACCACACACATGCTGACCAGCCAATACACACAGCGACAATAAAACATCTAGAGGTCAGTGGTCCTATGCTGACCTTGCTCACCTCTCACCTCTTTGAGCCAGAGCAGCTTAGGGGGTTGCATCTCTGGTGACATGACCCCTCCCACCCTGCTCAGGACCCTGTGGCCGGTGTTGGTTATACGAGCGGCCTGCTCCTCAGCACGATGGTCCATCCACATCACTATGTTCCTGTGTCTGTCACCTGGGAAAACCAGGAGAGGAAGGGGGTATAGAAGGTTTTAGTAAAAGCAAAATGTAATATACCAAATAATTAATATTGTGTTGACTGAATATCCCACATGTGTTTCTAAGATTAAATTAGTCTATTAGGAGATGATAAACAAAGGTCTGAATGCGATATATGTGTAGTGTCTAGGCAACAGTCATTTAACCTGAGTATCTGGGTCCTGACCTCAGTCCATCTTGAAAATGAAAAAGCAAAACAAACAAAAGAATCCCTCCTGACTCCAGGAGTTTTGTTTTCTAGGTGACCCTGATCTCTGACCTCGCTGTGGATGAGGAGGTTTTACCGTCAGGGATCAATAAAGTATCCCATTACATTAGACTGCATCAACTTGTCTCCGCAAATCTCAACAAGTGAAAGGTTTCGTATCAAAATGCACTTTTTGCGACCTGAAAATCTTCAGTCCACATCTCAAAAACATATTTATTCCCCCCTTGATAACCCATAATGTGTACAAGATGTACTTAAAAGGTGCTTTGCAAAGTTTTCCTGAAGCAAACAATATTAGAGATGTATAAAGTTCAAAGTTCAGGACAGAAATGCTTCACTTACCATCCTGACAGACTGGCACAGGCTGGAAGCTCTGGTCCAAAACCACTAGTGAGCAGGTGGCATCAAAGCCGATCCCTCGAACCTGACTCCTCTCTACACTTTGGGTAACTCTCTGGAATAGATATAAATATGGTCTGAGACATTAGGTCAATGCTTTTACACATAAGTAATATCTATAGAGAAATTGTAAGAGGGTATGTATAGCATAAATACATTAGAGGCACTGCACAGTTCAACATATGGTGTGTGTTACAATGACAAATTAACAGTAACTGGAATTAATTTATTTGTTTAAATAACCCTGACATAGGTGTATCTTGTCCTTTAAATCAGTTATTCCCAACCAGGTGAAATTAGGACACTACCTTTGCAGCTGCCAGGGACTATGCAGAAAAATTGTGAGGCAACTCAAATAAATTGAAAATATAAAGAATGATTGAATGAATGAAAAAAATAAAAAATAAATCCACATTATTACTACATTGACCATAATAGAAATAAATCCTGGACTTTGTCCTGTTATCCCTGACAGTTTCTTGTACAATTATCACTTCTGTATTTTAATTTATCAAATAAAGTAAACTAAACTTAAAAAAACAACAAAAAAACAAAACATCATAATTACAAATTGGTGTGATACTGAAATGTATTGTCACAAAAACCAGAAAGCAACCAAATATGCTGACTGTTCAGTACATTAATGTGAGCTAAAGTAATGGATAGACTGCCTAATTGAAATATTAGCTGAAAGCAATGGCTAAACAGTTGAAATATTCATGTTAGCTAAAAGTACTGGATAAACAGTTAAAACAGAAGTGTTAACACTATTTAAAAGTAATAAGTGAGTTGAAATATTAGTGTTAGCTAAACGTAATGAAAAACAGTAAAAATAGTAATGTTTATGTTAGCTAAAAATAATAAATAATTTGAAATATTCATGTTAGCTAAACGTATTTGATAAACAGTTATACAGTATTGTTAACATTAGCTAAAAGTAATAAACAGTTGAAATATTAGCGTTAGCTAAAAGTAATAGATAAACAGTTTAAATAGCTAGCTAAAAGTACTGGATGAACAGTTAAAATAGTAATGTTAACGTTTGCAAAAAAAGTAATGGATAAACAGTTGAAATAGTAATGTTAATGTTTGCTAAAAGTAATGGATAAACAATTGAGATAGTTAGCTAAAAGTAAAGGATAAATAGTTAAAATAGTAATATTAAAGTTAGCTAAAAGTAAAAAATAAACACTCAAAATAGCTAACGTAGCTTGAAGTAACACACATTTAGACAGGTAGTGTGAAGTTATGGATAACTGTAAAATGTTAGTTAGCTTTAAGTAATGAATAAACAGTTATAATATTAACATTAGCTAAAAGTAATTGATAAACTGTATACTATCAGTTCGCTATAAGAAATGGATAAACAGTTGAAAAGCTTAAAGCAATGGATAACCTAATTATTAGTTGAAAGTAACGAACAAAAAGTTAAATATTAGCTAAAAACAATGGATAAACAGTTGAAATATTAATGTTAGCTAAAAGTACTGGACAAACAGTTAAAATAGTTTAACAAGTAGCCTAACGTAATAAATAAACTCTGTAATGTTAGTTAGCTTTAAGTAATGGGTAAACAGTTGAAATATTAACGTTAGCTAAAAGTAATTAATAAACTGCATATCCATAGTTAGCGATAAGTAATGGGTAAACAGTTGAAATATTAGCTAAAAACAATAGTCACACTAAATATTGGTTGAAAGTAATGAATAAACAGTTAAATATTAGCTAGAAACGATGGATAAACAGTTTAAATAGTTAAACAAGTAGCGTAAATTACTGGATAAACCGTTTAATGTTAGCTAGCTTTAAGTAGCCTAATGGATAAACAGTTGAAATGTTAATGTTAGCTGAAAGTAATGAATACACTTTATAAAGTTAGTTAACTAATAGTAGTGGATAAACAGTGGAGACAGCTAAAATTAATGGACAAACAGTTGAAATAATTAACCCAGCTTAGCGTAAAGTAATGTTAATGAATAAACTGATTTAGATAGTTAGCTTAAAGTGATGGATAAACTGTTGAAACAAATATCTATAAGTAAGGGATTAATGGTTGCAGGGTCCAGCTTCTTTCACTCTCAAGTGGCTGTAGTGGGAATACAAGCTTGACTAAACCAGCTTATCAATTGCATGTATTGTAAAAATAATGTTATAACATCCATTTTTAAACTTTGCACCTACTTTAAAATAATTTAAAATGAACACATTGGAACAAGACATGTGGGGTCTCGATTGGGCAATGTTAGTTGAGTTTATCTGATTGGATAGAGTGGGGTAATCAAAGCTTGGGAACCAACCAGTGCCCTGAGGTCAGCCTACCTTTACAACTGTGCAGCATTTCTCCCAGATCTCAGTGGAGGACTGGACATAGTGGTCAGTCTGGGGCTCCCAGATACTGATGGGCTCCTCTGCAGTGCTCTTCACCAGACCAGCCCTGGTCACCAGTGCAGCCCTCACACTGGCAGTGCCCACGTCCACACCAATGAAATAAACCTCTGCCATGATGAGGCGAGCTGAATGTAGAGGAGGGGGAGCAGAGGACAGAGGGGTTGATTATTAACCAGGTTACACTGTCAAAGTCAACAATTAACACACTGTTTCGAAATGGAAGTTAAAACAGTATCGGCGCAGGTATATTGAATATTTACTTTTACACAAGAATTTCTTTTCTATGTTTTGGTGCATCAGACACTGACACAGTATAATGAATGGGATCAGGCTCCCGTAACAGTACAGGAAAACAGCTTTCCCACCAATGATTTGTACAGAGTCACATTTTGAACACACATCACAGACGCTATCAAACACAGAAGACATTACTACACCAGCTGGAGTAACATATCAGAACCTACCGGCGGATTTAAATCTTATTTCAGCGATGAAAACATCACTTTGGAGTTTCTGAAGAGCGTACTTTGGGCTGGAGACGGTGGCTGCGACGGAACGCGAGAGTGGACAAAAAGGGCAAAGTCGAGTTTTGCCTGCTGAGCCGTGTACAGACCGAACAAGTCAGGTAAGTATCTTGAATGGGGTTACTACAGGGGCCGTATTCACAAATATTCTCTTAATACTTTCAGGAAGCTCCCAACTTAGCTTAAAAATGTCCAACAAGTAGTTCTATCTTGGGGGTAACTTGGGAAAATTCTCAGAGTAACTGGACTAACTAAGAAAGGACAAACACTTTAATCTGCATGAGGTGTTGCTGACCCCTTTGCAAGGTTTGATGCATTCTTCTAAAAGTTGTGACTGGTTGTCACAGATGTGCCCTGTAGTGAGCCTGCAAGGTGTGGACACCCAGTGGAAATTAAAGGAACTGCATCACAATATGAGACTGAAAATACTGTCTGTGTGCTCACACTGCTGATTGAAGTTGGAGGCAGACCCAAGTCATCACCCTAGAAGGATTCATAAACAGGCCTGCTGGGGCCCAGAGTGTAAGGGGGTCCCCTGGCCTTCACCTGCAAAATGTCACTGAACACACACTGACAAGGAAGAGATTCAAAACGACCACAAAGAGATGCAATGGAACTACAAAAAGATGCATTAAAACTACAAAGAGATGCAAAACAATGACACAAAAAGAGGCTAAACAACTACAAAGTGTGTGTGTCTTGTTCCTATGTAGGATAACTGTAGGCTTTCTGACCCCCTGACAGTCTGAGGCTTCTGGGCAGTTGCCCCGTTGGTAACCCCCAATTACTTTTGTTGTGAGTTTTTTTCAGATGACATGTTCTTTTGCATGTTTTTAGAACATTTAGGACACTTGCACGTCTGATATTATTATTTCATTATTAAGCCAACACACATTTTGACTCATCATATTTGATTTTTAATGAATTTGCTTAGGTATTCAAAGACACGACGACTCAAAGGAGTATCATGACACAAAAACTTGGTTCAAATTTCCTTCCTCAAAGGTGAACCATTAACCCTCACCACAAATCCTATAGCTTTGTTTAATATGCAGAGGCAGGTTCTTTCATTAGGAGATACCAGTATAGAAAAATGAGCTTCTTGCTATGTCAGTTTGATAGTTCACCTAGTCTGTGGATTAGCAGGGGAAGCACAGGTGTAACTAATAACATTAACATTCACTCTGCTATATTTAAGGGTTACAGTAAGCCATGCAATTAAGCCAGCGTGCGCAATGCAAGAACTCCACAAACTAAATAGCATGCAGCCATCGTTAATGTTATGAAGTATACCTGTGAGTCGAAATCTCTTCTGTCAGTGAGGTCTATGAGAAAACTTGAGTACAGACAGTGCACATGAGTTACTCAAGGACATACTGTAATAGATAGGGCTGCAAAATGGACAGTGACATTAACCTGCCATCAAAAACACTGGCTCCTACTAGGAATCGTCAGACTTTCTAGTCTGTATCCTGCCTGGTCACTTTCCTCTATTGTGTTCTTTTCTTAGAGGAGATCAACAGCTGTCCAAAGGAAGCGCTGCTGGCTGTGATCAGCGTGTTTGGACCAGGAATGATCATCAGAGATGGAGTACAGAGAAAAACCAAGCAGCAGGACAGGAAGAAACAGATGGTCTTCAACAAACACTGCACGGACAGTGTTTGAAATCTCATCTGTCTCTCTCACTGCTGTGTGTGTGCGTGTGTGTGTGTGTGTGTGTGTGTGTATCCCTCTGGTCCACGCCTGAAGGTAATCAAAACTTTGCTCTGTTGATACATCAACACATGCATATATAGTCTTTCTCTGTGTTTTGCTCTCGTGAAAGCGGGGGGAGTGTTTCCATGGACCCTGGACTGTCCCACCTCTGTGCAACAAAAGCAGGCCTGTTGGGAGGCTGACAGGACCAGCTCCTGATTAGAAAACTGCATGCAGTGGAAACAGCTGGCCCAGGCAGGGAGGAGGGAAGCGCTGTTATCTAAAAGCGACCCCGTCAGGCCAGCAGAGGGGAAAAGCTGACAGAGAAACAGGAAGCACAGCCAGGACACAGCGGTGGTTTGATAGGAAAATACTCCTCGGTGGGGCTTAACACAGGTGTTCAGAGAGAGACACAGAGTAAAGTGTCTCAGAAAGTTATTGTTACACAGGAGACTGTGAGACAGAAGGGAAGAGTTGAGGTCTTGTTTGCCGTCATTACGGCTGTGGTACGAGAGACAAATGTTTCTAAAGCATTCCAGCGCTGGATTTCTACTTCAGGGTGTCAAATACTTCCAAATGGGTGTTACACAGCCGTGTTGTGAGGTCATGTCATCTCGAGAGTGTTGACCTCAGGCAGCTCTGGTTCTCCCAGGCTGTCTGGGGCTGTTAACTTATTTATAGTTGGCTTGAGGAGAACATGTTGAATAATACAATGGGGGAGGCCAGACAGACTGGACTGCAGCTGTACAGAGCCTTCAGTCATTAGTGCAGCTTCATATTTACCTAGAATACAATGAATACATTTCCTGCACGTGCAACTTGAATATGAAGTTGTCAAGTTGTCATATTGTAAGCGCACGATAGCATTTTGGTTTCAGAGCTACAACCTTTGTCATTTTCCTTTGATAACAATAACTTGGACTATACTGTGACTGATTGATTAAGTTTTAAAAGATCTTTATTGCGGCTGTATGCGGTACTTACCATAGTCAGTGTATTACATACAGTAGATGGCGGTTGGCATGCCCCTAGTTTGGAGAAGCAGGCTGGAGTCCAACACAGACACTAAGCAATGTACTGCTGTGGACAGGGGCAGCAACAAAACATATTACAGCCTCCTAAAAAAATCAATTTCAGGTTAAGTGGACGCTGTATTGAGAGTATTTTCACTGCTTTACCTTTCCATCAGACAGCCTGTTTCGACAGGGAAGCCTTTAACAGCCTCAGTTCTATGCTCTTGTCAAAGCCACTGAGAAAAACAGTAATTTTAACTCGCAGAACACAGGAGCTCCTGGTCTACTGCTGTTTCAATCAGCTAGTTAGTTTGTGTTATTGTGTGACTTTGGTGAATCAAAACTAACCCTTTTAAACACCAAAGTCACTCAATTACACAAACTAACTAACTAATCGAGCCAGCATTACACCAGCAGCTCCTGTGTTTAGTATTGTTAAATCACCATTTTTCTCAATGGAGTCTGGCTCTGAAGAAAACAATGCAACAGCTTCATTTTCCGGTTGGAAATCACTGTCTGACATTAAGGTGAAGCAGTGAAAACACTCTCAATATAGCAAACACTTAAATTGATATTGATTTTTTACATTGGATTTTTTAGGTGGCTAAAATACATTTTGTTTCTGCACCCTCCACAGCAGTGGATAGCTTAGCTTCCATGTCGGACTCCAGTGTGCTTCTCCAAACTAGGGGAGTTTTGACTGACATGGGCTATTTGTAATATACTGTATATGGATTATTGTGGCTATTAAGTCATGTTTAATGTGAGTTTAATGTGTTTTAGGTGTGTTTTTAATCAATTTAACTTTACAGCACTTCACAGAAACACCACTGCCAACTAGTGTTTTGGAGGTGTAACTGCAGAGTGACACAGACACACCACTGCACAAGTATGGATGCTCACAAAGGTGTAGGAGAGGTTAGGGGTGCTCATGCATACCTGTGCCCAGGGCCCCATTGTCTCATCATACGCCCATGTTTCTTGTACTTGTTATACTTGGCCGATAAAGTTGATTGTGTTTCTGTGGTCACGTATCTTCCTCGTCATCTCTTTGCAAGAGCAAAGACAAGCACTTCAAACGTGCACTGTAACAGAAAGACTTTTTTTTTTTTTAAATGTGGGACTGGTTGCGCAAAACATCTTAAGTTTTCTCTGCAAGTATGACACTTTAGGCCTAATTTCTCCTTAGCTGAGGGACGTACAGAGTCGCACAGAATCCTTTAAAAGGATTGCTTTGTTAAGGAAAACTCATTTATTGTATTGAAAGGGATTTTACAACAGTAAAAGTTTCCATGGAGATTGTTTGTTTGCTTGGACTCACACTTGTGACGCCTGTTATCGTCTCACAAAGTTGGCTGATAGTTAGATAGTGAAAAAATGGCAGAAGAAAAGATGACAACAAAACTGTACTGGTCAGAGGAGGAAAAGATTATACTCCTGGAGGAATACAATCATAGAAAGCACAAACTACAAATAACAGAAGACAGAAAATGACTGTAGGAAGAAATTGCAATGAAAATTCATCAACATCAGAAGCGTATCCGTTGGGTTCTCCTGGTCGCAGAACGCTCTTCTCAGGGTGTGTTAGTTTTTTCATTTATCACCATAAACTTGGTCATGTTGCAGTTAAGATAATGTCAGAGGTGCCTTAAGTTAGGGGTCAAACATACAGCCCGGGGGCCAGAACCGGCCCGCCAAAGGGTCCAGTCTGGCCCACTGTATGACTTCATACACGAGATGTTGATGCACATATGAAGGCTAAGAGGTGTCAGGTTTAAACAGTGAGTAGATACTCAATGTAAAATGTAAAATGCTGCTTCAGAGGCTTTTCACCCTGACCAGAACACAGCTTTCTAAAAATAACAATGAACACTTACTGTGGTCATATTTAAA